TGGCCAATGCCATTGACTCGTATGTGCACTTCCAAGTGGTTAAAATGATAAATATCAGGGTGTTTATATCTAAAACTCTCCCTGACATCATCTTCTCTACATCTCCGATTAACTCAGCGACCGTGGCTGAATGCCTGCCACCTTTCAAATATTAGGTCAGGCACTCGATATCGGCAGTTTTATCAATTATAAATGCTTTAAGCTGCATAGAATTTTAAACATTAATAATAGTGGTTATAAATCTTTAATACAAAAGCTGGCTTTAAAATTATTGGTAAAATAAGATTAGAAATGTCTTAAGAATTGTTAGCGTTTCTGTTTGCATTTATTGAACAAGTGGTTTTGTGCTTATCCCTGCAGAATACTATGAGATTTGCCATAAGGGTTATAAAACTATAAACTCAGCCGGGCACAGTGGCTCACGCCTGTAATCCCAACACTTTGGGAGGCTGAGGTGGGCGGATCACCTGAGGTTGGGAGTTCGAGACCAGCCTGACTAACATGGAGCAATCCCATCTCTACCAAAAATGCAAAATTAGCCGGGCGTGGTGGCGCGTGCCTGTAGTCCCAGCTACTCAGGAGGCTGAGGCAGGAGAATCGCTTGAACCCGGGAGGCGGAGGTTGCAGTGAGCCGAGATTGCGCCACTGCACTCCAGCCTGGGCAACAAGAGCAAAACTCCATCTAAAAACAAAAAAGTTGTTTTTTTGTAGAGTTGGTTTTCACTATGTTGCCCAGGCTGGTCTTGGAACTCCTAGGCTCAAGCAATCCGCTGACCTCAGCCTCCCAAAGTGCTGGGACTGCAGGTGTGAGCTACTGCGCCTGGCCCCACTGGGTCCTTTTTTAAAGATACATGAAAAGAATCAAACGCAACAGTGAAGGTAAGTCAGTCCCCCGATGGCAGAAATTGGGGTGCCTCTGGCATCTGGTCAGTTGAAGCCAACGACACTGCTCAGCATTCTTCAATGCACAGGACAGCCCCACCGCGGCAGAGAATGATCCGGCCCTCGGTGACACATGTAGGTGTGATTGATGGCATTTAGAAAGAATATTATCACGCCGGGCGCGGTGGCTCACGCCTGTAATCCCAGCACTTGGGGAGGCCGAGACGGGCAGATCACGAGGTCAGGAGATCGAGCCCATCCTGGCTAACACAGTGAAACCCCGTCTCTACTAAAAATACAAAAAAATTAGCCGAGTGTGGTGGCGGGCGCCTGTAGTCCCAGGAGAGTGTCGTGAACCCGGGAGGCGGAGCTTGCAGTGAGTGGAGATCGCGCCACTGCACTCCAGCCTGGGCGACAGAGCGAGACTCCTTCTCAAAAAAAAAAAAAAAAAGAATATTATCACTTGTTTCCCGTAAGAGCAACTTAGAGAAAGAAAATGGTATTCTTAAGGCCTTCTCTCCTATGAGGCTCCAAGCCAGGGTTGCCATCGCAGAAGATGCTGAACTCGGTTTTTCCTTGAAAGAATTGTACTCAAGGTGATGTACATGTCACCCTGGGTGCCACTTGGGTGGTTTGGAGAAGTGCTCGGACGCAACACGCCCTGATGAGTCAACAGCAGCCAGCTGGACCCGTCTCCTGGCTTGCGGTTCACGGGCTGTGTTTATCCCTCTGGTTCCTTCACAATCACCTTGGGAGATACGTTGCCTCTGGATCACGCCAGGCAGGTTCTCCCTGTGCGACTGTGTGCTGCAGGGCTGGAAATCAGGTGGCACTCCGCTACAGCGGCAACCTGACTAGGAAGGCAGGAAGATGCTGCCATCTTTAGAGTTTGTCCTTTGACTTTACTCGATATGAATGAAGATGGGGCACTTCCACACTGCACAACAGGAGAAGTCCAGAAAACTTTCTGGAGATAGTGAGAGGGTGATGCAGCGAACAGCTATGACTGATGACTGCCCTCACCTCTGACTGCCCCTTCCTCCCCGCTTTCTGAACGCACATCCATCACCAACCATAGGTTCTTGTTTGGGGTTTGCTGGCTGGAAAAAAAAAAAAAAAAAAAGGAAGCCTGGCTTTCTACTAAAAACCACTTCCTTTGCCCATTTATCAAACTCAAACCCTCGGAGGGCCACAGAACATCATCCTCCATCCCAGGCAACGAGGTGTTTCTGGAGCACTCCGGTCTATCAGGGACCTGGTCAGTTGCCATCGCATATGTATGTGGGGCCAGCCCCTGTGCCACCGAAGAGGGGGGATGTTGGAAACTTGTTACAGCCGGGAGCGGTGCCCCCTTGGTTCAAGCAGTTCTTCTGCCTCAGCCTCCCTAGTAGCTGGGATTACAGGAGGGCACCATCACGCCTGGCCAGTGTTGTGTACTTTTTATCACAATTTCAAAAAGGAAAGAGTGCCTGGGTGAGTCCTACACATCTATTCAGAGAACCAGAGTCTTTGAGGTTATCCTCAGCCCACCCATCTCATGGGAGTGGTTTTTTTTTTTTTTTTTTTGAGACGGAGTCTCGCTCTGTCACCCAGGCTGGAGTGCAGTGCCCGGATCTCGGCTCACTGTAAGCTCCGCCTGGCCGCCTCGCGGGTTCACGCCATTCTCCAGCCAGCCTGCCCGAGTAGCTGGGACACAGGCGCCCGCCAACGTCGCCCGGCTTGAGTTTTTGTTTATTTTAGTTAGAAGATGGGGTTTCACCCGGTGTTGCCAGGATGGTCTCGATCTGCCTGACCTCGTGACTCCACCCGTCTGCGGCCCCAAAGTGCTGGTACAGGCGAGCCACCGCGCCCGGGGCCGGAGGTTTTTCGAACTCTTGCTTTTCTCCAGTGAGAAATAAGCGTCCTACACACACACATCCTGTCGGCGTGCTTCTGATTTCCCCCTCCTGGTATCACACCTCGGAGGGGCTCCACTCCCTCTTGGCTGAGTCTGTAAACTTGCCGCCCGCCAAGAAGAGCATACAGTCAAGCTCGCGCGACGCACTGGTGTTGGTGTGAGTTCAGTTTCTCGCGTTGGTGGAGTCTCGTTCCTCCCTGGCTTCTCCACAGCAGGCCACTCACCGGATGACAAGCTGGGCTCCACCACAGCCAGCCAGCGAGAGGGCAAGAACAGAGGGCTGGAGGGAGGGATTCTACCATCAAGAGGTGGGTGTTTGTTTTTAGCCTGGGAACCAGCGAAGACGGTAACCAACGCGTCACCTTCTGCCCGTATCCTACTGCTAGAAGCCAGTCGCGTACGCCGGGGCGTGGTGGGCTCACGCGCTGTAATCCCAGCACTTTGGTGGAGGCCGAGGTGGGATGAATCAGAGTCAGGAAGATCGAGACCGATCCTGGTTACACACGCGATGAAAAGCCCATGTCGTCTACTTAAAAATAAGAAAACATTAGCCGGGGCATGGTGGCGGGGCGCTCCTTAGTGCCCAGGCTACTCGGAGCCTGAGGCAGGAGAATGGCGTGAATCCAGAAGCAGACTTGCAGTGAGCGGGAGATCACGCCACTGCACCTCCAGCCTGGACAACAGAGCAAGACTCTGTCTCAAAAAAAATAAAAATAAAGTCGCTACATCTCCCCCACGTCAAAGGGAGGGGGTCTCACTGTTGGGTCCACTGGAAGTTGCCTACCAGAGTCAGGTCATCCAAATACACCCTCCAGCCGTTGGTATGGCATCAGAAAGCAAACTACGGCCAGGACAGTGGGCTCATACCTGTAATCCCAACAATTTGGCGAGCCGTGGGCAGAAGGATCACTTGAGCCCAGGGAGTTTGAGACAGCCTGGCAACATAGCAAGGGCCGCCACCGTCTACAAAGTAATAGCGCGAAGTGTGGGGGGT